CTCTGGTGGTTCAGTGGTAAAGAATCCACCTGAGAGTGCAGGAGACATGAGTTTAATTCTGGAAGAGCCCACATGCCAAGGAGCAGCCAGGCCCACTGGCCACAACTATCGAGCCTGTGTTCTAGAGCCCAGGAATTACAACTCCTGAGCCCACATGCCACAACTACTGAAGCCTCCATGCCCGAGAGCCCATGCTCCACAACAAGGGAACAGCATGCAAGGAGTAGCCCATGCACCACAACTAGAGAACAGCCATGAAGACTCAGCACAGTCAAAAACAGATAAATAAATACAATTGTAAAAAAAGAAAGCAAAAAATAAAAATAAAAACACAAGTGCAACAATAGGTTATGTATACAAAGAAATGTGTAAGTTGCAAATTAATCTAAATTCTCAAAATTTAGATTAAATTATGTAGTATGATTTTTACTATCAAAAACCACATGACACTGTGGTTGGAAAACATTTACCCTAAAAGGCCAGTTACTGAAAGAAACTCATTGGACTTCCTTGGTGGTCCAGTGGTTAAAACTGCACTCCCGCTGAAGGGGGTATGGATTCCATCCTTGGTTAGGCAGGATCCCACAGGCTTCTTGGCCATAGAAAAGAACCTTGCTTTTCCTGGTTTTAAACATTACTTACATTCTACTGGAACAGAGAGAAAAGTAACACATCTATTGCTTGGCTTTTATAAGAACTGACTAGTGCTACACCTAAACTTTACGTTAAAAAAAAAACTTCCTCAAAAGATGGTGTATAATGTGTAAAAACTGACACATTAAATCTAGATTGTGTACACAGAAGTGTATATATCTAAACTGGCTGTAGATGCATTATGAGAGTTCATTATTTATAGGCATCATAGAGATAATCAAAGTAATCAATTGGAATAAATGATTTATATGCTTTATAAATTCAAATTTTCATATACTTATTTTTCTTAAGAACTATACCAAAAAATGAGAAAACATACTCTACTATTATAAATGATGATCAAAACAGCATAGCCTTTTTTCTTAATCCCAAACTTTTAAAATAGGTGCATACCTAAACAAGTATTTTTTCATACAAACCTATGTTCTTGTAATGTCCACAGTTTTTAGTAACCTTTATTACTTGGAAATTTTTAGTTAAGAAAATACCAGGACAACGAATGACTATTTTCTATCTTAAGCTTCATTTTGCCTCTTTCTATATGCACACCCTAGAGGTTCCAGATTCTATCCACAAAGTGATTATGGTCTAGGACTGAATCAAATTTGTAACAAATGTCCACTGGGATTCTTCGACCTAACATCGATGGGCGAGCCAATACACGTCTTCTAGCTTACTGAATCCTTTCACCTTACCTTAGGGACTTTCCACGCTACACAGTGAGAAGCTTTCTTTCACAAATAATGGAAATGAATGAAAAATGGTTTCAGAATAGAAAAACAGAAACCCAAGTCATTATATGGTATCTAAAAGCTACCCTGCATCTACTGTCTTAGTGCCTAAACAAACATTTTAACATGTATGATAAGCGATATTCTTCAAGGTCGTAAGTTTTATTATCTCTAATTTTATATGATTACTGACATGCATCATTTCTATTAACACTTCAATATATCCAGCCATATGATAGCATTAAACTAACAGTGACCTACAAAAGCCTAGAAACCATTACGATTTAAGTTTTTTTAAAAAATAAGAGCATAAAGTTAATAAAATGAAATTTCTAATAAACATAATTTTTATAAGTGTCACCAAATCAAAATGTAACTAACAGCAGTCATGAAATCATTTATGAAATGTATTTCTCTCAAAAATTAAAAAGTGTTTCTAAAGAGAAAGAAGAAAAATTACAAAGTACAATATTTTTAAGCTACAAGCTTTACGAAAATCTGTCACCATTTATGTTACAATTCTGCTCATCAATAAGGTACTTTTTTTCAAAGAACCATTCGAAAATCAATTTTATCAACTCTTTTGTATAGGGAAGCAGCACACCTTTCAGGCAACTAGTATTAATGAGCAGACATGACTATAGAATCTCCATTTGTTTCTCTGACAAAGCTGTGGCTACTCTAGTCGCTCATTGAAATTCCATTAATCCAGTGTACCAAGGTCCAATGCGAAAATCAAAACTCCATCTAACCCTTTATCAGTTCACAATAACCTACAAGTGAACTCTGCCTGTTAGCATGCAGCAAGTTATGATTTTGCTATCAATCAGGCAATTGGCCAATAAAAAAAAAAAAGGCAGGCTGGAAACAGTGTGTCTGGCAGGGTTTGAAGACTTTGTTTTTGTTTTCTATTTTCATTCCCTTTCAATTTCTATAGGGCGTCTGGACCTTGTGAGAATATGCATTATTCTCCTTGGCTGTGATTTAATTGCTACCAGCAATCAAGTCGAAGCATCACTGAAGTGTGCTTGAATTTCATTAGAAGATATAACTTATGCTACTTTCCTACAGTACCTAATAAACCATAAAGAAACCAAAACACATATGGCTTGAGGGAATAACTGGAAAATTAGGTAGCCATTTGGGAACTGAGTGAACTTTTGAACCAGAGGAACAGAGAAAAAGAAATATTAAAGGAAAAGACAGACTTAGAATGCACAGAGATGTGCAGGTTCGACCTTTTCAGTACCTTGAAAATTACATTAGCATTATGAAGAATACATAGCATGTTTGGAGTTTATAATCCATCAAAGTTGAAATACTTTGTTTAGTGCCTACCATAAGGTAAAAGTCAAAAGGACAAAACAACAATCTGATATGACAAAAGGCCTTTTGGTGACCCATGCTAATTTAGTTACACTTATTGTTAAATGCATTATCATTTTATAATTAATATATCATTAGACTGAGGTCACACAATGAAGGAAACTTCATTCAGCAAAGCAAAGAGAACACATATGAAATCTAACTTGCAGGGAGGAAACACCAATACAATTAGATAATACTTCAGAGTGGAATTAAAAGTTCAAGTAGTAGTTTTAAAATTAACTTATAACATTCTTAGGAGAAAATATAAAATTATCAAAAATAGTGCTGCTTATATACTAAAAATGAATAATACCAGAGGTTAAAATTTCAATCTAGGAATTGCTTAAATACTGATGAAAATGCAATATTTAACAAGTTAAAATTTAAATGTTACACACAAATATAATTTATTAAACAATATTCAAATATTGACAATGTTTTAACAATAAATCTTCTTGTGCTATTAATATATTTCCTGTATATCTGGTTATGAAAACAAACACATGATACATTATTTACCCATTAAAAAAAATCATGTAAATGCACTATACAATAGCAATTCACTTTTCCTTAACAAATCACTGGCTCTCACAGATATTTAATTGTTGGATTTCTTAGGTTGTGATTTTTTCAAGAAGGTACATAATGCTCTCTTGTACATCAAAATATTTATGCTATTTTGAAAAAGCCTGAGCATATATATTCTATGAATATATTTGTATGTATATGTATATGTATATATATTTTGTATATATGTATATATATACACATGTATATGTATATATATACATATAAAATATATGCATATATATTTTCATAAGATAAATATTCTTCATACATGTATACATATAAACAAACTCATTGCTGTATACTAACATTTTACAGACAAGCAAAACAAAATATTGTAATGTGTTTGAAAAATAGTTCAACCCAAACAATAATTTATTGTTTTGCCTGAAAATATTACTTCATCGATGATAAAACATTTTCTAGCAGAAATGCTTTTGAAGATAAGCTAGAAAGGGTAATGCTCTGTTTCATATACTAAGTGCAACTGAAGAGAAATATGCTTTTTTTTTAAAAAAAATAGAGCCTATAAGAAATTCTTTCCTTTTAAAAATAGATATTAAATGTTTGCCAAAATGTAAAATTAGACACAAAATGGATATGACTATTGTTGCTACACATTGTACAAAGTTCTGAATATAAAAAAAAAAGATTGTGTTGTTCTGAATCAGTGGTTAGAATGTTTATCACTTATGCATGTACTTGACTTATCCCTGTTCTGCAATAGACATAATTTTATACCTCATAAAAGCAATTTATGTTTCCAAAGGGAATAATCTGGATAACATAAAATGTGGAGTGCTCTGTTGCAGGAAGCATATTTTCATTCAGCAATTGTATTTAGAGATGGAACTGCACAGTTTGATCATCATATAGTGGCAGAAAGCATTATTCATTTCTATGTCTATGTGAAACTTTGAGTGCCACAAATTAATATGCATGGCTAATTTATCAATATGCATTCTTAATTTGTAACTATATATCACCCTCATAGGTCTCTATAGTTCAGATGCACTCAACTGGGTGGCACAACAAAGTACATGCTACAGTAAAAACAAGTTTCATTAACTTTGCAAGTTTTTAAAAATTACTAAGAGATAAAGAATCAATTTTATTACCATTTCAATTAATACAAAATACTATAATATTACTGTATAATGTGGGATATTTTTAGATGACAATTAGAAAAATTAAAATGTATATAAAAGAAGTATTTGATGAAAACTTGTCTCGATGAGAGAAGGCAATGTAGGAATAATTAATTTAATATTTTATGAACTCATTTTGTATGAAGTTTTCAGGAAAAAAGAGATCAAAAACCTTTTTCATTATTTATAAAATAAATAATACAACAAGCCATTAAGCAGCCCAATAAAATTAAGCAAGAATCTGATAATATTAAATTAACCAACAAGTATACTAATAATATTTATATGATCATATGATACAAGTACTGTCCTCAAAATTCAAGTAAAGAAAATTTTCTAGGAGAGGAAGGAACTACATACTTAGGAAAACCACTAGAGAGAGCTCTTCTGTTCCTTAAAAGGTTCTGGTAAAGGTAAGTTAACTGAAGCTTCTGTGTTTATCTGCTTTCTGACAAGATCACCACCTTTACATATTGCATTGTTCTGTGTTAAGAGTGTCAAGAGGTATATTCTATGAGAAAATGTAACATACCATCAGAGGGAGCTTCATCATCTTTATCATATCTTTCTGAGGCTAATGAAATAGTGTCTGGAGGCCCAGCAAAAGGGTCATCGTATTCTTCGCCATCTTCTGCATCACCTATAAAAGAATCAGAGATAAAAGAATGGATACACATTATAACTGAACCACTCTGCGGTACACCTGAAACTAACATAACATTGTAAATCAACTACACCCCAATATAAAATAAAAAGTAAATTTAAAAATACTATTTAAAAAAACAAACAGAAAAGAATCAGAGAAAAGTCTTTTATAATTTAGCCATTTTTAAAAAGTGTTACTTTGTCAAAGAGGTAAATTGTACTATTAAATTCAGTTACTTTCATGGAAGAACAAAGAAAACTTTTTGAACTAGGTAAAAACAGATGCTATTTTAATGTATATCTATTGTAATTTAGATAAAAGTAATAGTTTTTGAAAGTCCAGTATACAACTGCTTCTTTCTGTTACAAAAGGAAGGGTACAAGTTACAAAATTATTATGGTCTCTACAAAGATGAATATAAAATAGCAGAAGGAGGTTAAAACATGGTGTGTATCCAAAACAAACAAAACCAAAATAACAATAAGAGCAACCAAAAAAATCATAGCAAGCACAAGAAAAAATAATTCTAGTTAATTCCATTTACCTACTCAATAACTGGAAAAATGATGATGAGAAATTGATAAATCAAAGCCATATGAACATTTTACATTTTCAGTAAAAATCACACAATTACACTTGAACAAATTAAAGATACTCAGTTTCATTTTTAAGAGCAGGAATCTTTTACAGAAAAACTGCTTTAAAATCCATATAACCTTTTAAATTCAGACCAGGTGATTTACAAACTAGACACTTTCAACTTTTCATTCAGTGATATGCTATTTTTTTATATTCTAGCTAATTTTCTAGATGATTTCCAAACCTTAGGCTGATTGGGTGAAGTCATTTAATCTCCACAATAAAATCTTATGGTTTGGGTTTTTCCATATACTCATTTAGAATAATTTTTTAAAAGAGTGATTCAAATATTTGCTATATACTAGCCATACCTAATCACTCATTTTTCATCCATATTCAACAAGAAAGAAAAAGGTATGCTTAATACATATCAATGATTTGTTAACAATTCAAACTACTTGTTAGAAATTCAAGAGAAAACCAGTCACCTGAGGTATTACCTAAACCTTAGTGAAAAATCTCCGTAGGAACCCTCGAGTGCCTCAGCATCACTTTTTAGATCACAGTTGTTGGGCAGATCCAGATTAAAGCTACTGGGCTCTCCAAAAGGATGTCTGTAATTCTCTGACATCCTTCTGATGGGTTGCACCCTACTTTCAACATATGTTGGTAGAGAAAATAGCCTCTTCCAAGACAATACTTTCAAAATAATAAAAATCAATATTCGTATCTATTTTCTTAAAATTCTGACATTTTATCAACATTTATCATCCCTACCCTGGAAGTAAAGATAAGGACATCTCCCACCAAGACAATGAGAGCAGACTATAGAGATGACTACCTTATCATCCTCAGTGATCACACCATTATGTGCACCATACTTGGTGATGCTTTTTTCCCAATTAAAATTCCAAGAAACATGTACAAATATTGCTCTTTCTTCAGATCTTAATTTATCTTTCTTTCAAGATGATCAAAGTACTTCTCAGAACATTCAGTGATTCTTTGTAATATTTCTCTTATGGAATGAAGAGTAGTCTGATTTAAAATATGAGGTAAGACAGAACCTCACAAAATTCTAGTAAAAATACGTTTGAACATGAAATAATAGCTCATGGAATACACAGTTGTAAAGATCACAAAATTCCCAACTGTTCAAGATTGTTAGCGTATCCTTCTATCCCTAACAAAGTAATAAGTTTTATGTTATAAATTTTCTAAAGTATATCATGAACTATAAATCTTGCTGTGAAAAAAAGTATTAGGACATTTCAACCACATCACCATAACTTAGCAGTTAGCACATTATACTATTAAGAATATATAAACATGACAATAAAGCTAATGATTCATGGAAAGAATCTTTTTAAAAATTCAGATGCTCAGGCTTAAATCTATTAAATTCTATGTGGAAATAAACAAAAAAAATTTTAATTTTAAAAAATCAGAATTAGTTTATTACCCTTGGATAACATCTATTATATATTTTGTGTATATATCCATGTATATACAAATACACAGCAAAAAGATCACTATTAAAGCTATAAATACAATAATATTTAATATAAGGGAAGAATATTCTACACAAATTAGTCACTGACGGGTTAAAGACCTTTGTGGGTTTTATATTTGTTTTTGTGCTTTAAAAAAAAAAAAAAGAACAGTTTTTGGATTGTAAAGTGAAATTATCTTCAATTTCCCCATTCTAAGAACTGTAGTTCATTTCATAGATTTGTTTTTTAAATTACTATGACATTTATATTTATCTAAGACAAAAATACGTTACATACTGCTATTGGCCTTATTTCTTCCCTCCCAGCCCCCTCCCCTCCCTTTTTAAGCTTCCCTTGAATTTAATTCAGAAAGTAAAGAAGATGAATCTCTGTGGTATCTGTACAGGGTTATTCCCTTTTTAACTTGCATGAAGTTGAAAAAACACATCATTTTTCAAAATGGTCTTCATGTTACTGTTGTTCAGTGATGACTTACCCCTTTTCCCTGACTCTCTAATTTTTTTTCAACTCAACAAAGAGCAGCTATATTATAAGGGGCCTTAATTGAACACAGGGGTCGCTGTTGAGTAGTACAAAGCATTTTTTCTCCCCAGGGGCTGAGGACTTGCAGCTAGCTATACCTACAAAGATTTTGATAAATTAAAAGGAAAATGTTCAACTTGTGTATGTGTAATAGAAAGCTGAACTCCAAAGCAACAATGAGCATCAGGTAAACGTATCCAATACAATTTACAGACATAATTGAAAGCATTACAGCTAATCAGACATCTAAAAGAAAAGCTTGCTCAAATGAAATGTCTACAGAATCATTAGTTGGCAGCCATTCTATTACAATCACACATAATGTCAGTGGTGCCTTGAGCCTGTGCCAATGACAACAGCATAAATTTTGCATCTCATTTCTATGGTCATAAAATTAATGATCAGTTTAAAAATACTTCTTTGTAAAAGTTATTGCGCAAAGAAAAGACATGAATGTGTCCCTGTTATGTACTCAGAAGGATAATTATAGGGTTGTTGCTCATTAATACTGTTTCTTGTTTCCCTAGAAAAGCATTTGATTTATCCCACAACTTTCAAAAGTTTAATTAACGATACAAAGTTAACAATCTAAAAGACAATGATCCAAGACTTCTCATCCTATAATTTCATTGGCGAGCTAAACAACACAGCAAAATCAAGGCTTAATCGTACCACAGCAACATATTTCTTTGAAAAACATTTTTAAATTTTTAATAGTTGGTTTCAAATCACTATTATCCCTTCTTTTTAACATAGCTCCGTGATCAATTAATGTTTTCCTAAATGCCTGGAGATAAAAGCCCAATAGCAATTGAACAGTGATGAGCCCTCCCACTACGAAAGGTGATTTAACCAATCTACTGCTTGTTTTAGCAAATACAGTCCTATTTTAGATGCAATCAGGTAAACATTAAACTAAATAACATATCTAAAATTCAGATGATAACCATTCCCTTTCACAGAAAATGAAAGACAAACTCGGTGGGGGAAATTATTTGAATGGAAAATATTAATTCCTAATTTTCTACTTAGTTCATGCGTCCAAAATAATTTCTTAAGTAATAATACACAGCTAAATAGACATAATTAAGCATTTAACTTGTCACTTCTTAATGGAATCTGTAGTTTAATTCTTAAAAATTTGGAAGATTTGATTCACCGCAAGTAAGATTTTCTCCACAACTCTCCTACCACACAAGGGCTAATTTATAGCATGCGAATATGAGGCAGTTTTAAAGGAAGGATGCCATTCCTCAAGCACTACCTCTGAAATACACTTCTACTGCTACCGGCCCCCAAACTCAAATACGCTTAACCCATTTGTATAAGGCCAGAGATGAGGTGGAGGAGCTGCAAGTTATTTGTGCAGATTTCACTGGGGAGCTAACTTTCAACAGAACATACACTATGTTAGGAAGGGTAAAAGAAAGGAAATTTAACATGATCCAAAATGACTTTTCTGCTGCTCTCAAGGATTCCATCAGAACCAACTAAAATGGGTCCCTTCTTACCTAACCACCTTGTTACTCAAAAAAGCAGTTTATTAATAAACTTAATAATACCAATGAGGTCAAAGGAAGTTGCTTTCTCAGTAAATCTATTCATATTCAACATCAATGGAGTTTTAGGACAAAATCCACTAAATAGTTTTAATTTAAGGAAAAATATTTTAAAGGAGAAAATGAGCATTTTTAGTTATGACGTCTAAAGGGAACTGTAATATGTTCACATTTTTTAAAGCTGTAGATATCAATATTTGAAAAATATTCTCTTGAAAATATTTGTCTCATGTTAATAATGCATGCCCTTCTTTTAGTAATTTATGGTTTCCTTGAAATTTATTTGAAGATTGAATTATAAATCAAGATTTACTAAATCTTCTTGATAATGAAGTTGAATCTGAGAATACACATTAATATAATACTGAACACTATGTGCTATGCATAGCTATCTTCACATTATCTTAATCATTCTGTAAAGAAAATAATAACACCAAAGTCATCACTGGAGTAAAACAAGCCTGATGTAAGGACAAGATACAACTACAAGTAAATTTTTTTATTATATACCTAATATGTATTAGAAAATTCTATTTCATACTCAGTCAACAACACTGTTTACTCAAGTAGTAATGTATTTCAAGTCACATTTAAGAGTGCTATGACCTTATCATGTAACAGAGAACAAATTCTAAAACAATCACAATCCTAAAATTAATATAATTCTAGGGCATGAAGCCTATATTTAGGAGTATACTTTATATTATGAGGCTATATTGCAACTAACAATAAAAAACTATGGTTAGATAGTTATGTCATGTACAATATCTAAAGGTTATAAGAAGAGATGTGAGAGGAAAGCAAGGAAGGATGACAGACATCTGTGTACATTAGAGAAAGTAACAAGTCATTTATGCAAGATGAATAAATGTGAATTAATTCACTTTATTTAAGAACGCTCTTCCAGGTCCTTTTTTCTCCCAATATTATTAAAATGGTACTTAACTATCATGTAAAAAAACAGTACTTGAAACAAATAGGAATATAAAGGTAAAAAGGAGGAAAACAGCCTCTGGTCACTTCACTGTGACCCCATATTGACCTGAGAGAGAGGAAACGGCCAAAAGGAATTCTGCCCAGGTCTCCTTGGATAAAGACAATCCAAAAACTCCAAGAAGAAAATGTAAGGAAAAAGAAGAAAAGCAGCATTATCAAAATATACTTAGATGAACTAAATTTATTCAATATAGGATCTATTAATAAACTCTTATTTTTTTAAAAAAGATGTATTTTGAACAACTGCTTATTCAACAACTAAGCCTATACTAACATCCCTTTAATATTTCCAACAAACGACATGAGTAGTCTTTTTAGAACAGCTGAATTATACTTTAAGGGTAGAATGGCATAAAATTACTTAGCTTCTCATATTTCTCCAAGGTATAGATCTAATTTATCCACAGGCTTACTTTTGAACAGGCACTCTTGGTGATTAGTTAACTCAATACAGCAGTATTGAACTACAAATGACTTATTCAGAGGAAAACAATTATGGGGAATCTCTGAATTCTGTGTTATTTGAACTCGTATTCTAGGTTCATTTTTCAATTTTTATCAAATACTATATAAACCTCCATTCTCTTTAGAGACAAAGAATGTATCTCAGTAATGTAATTTTAATATCCACACACCTGAACAAGTCCTAAGCCAGAATACCAAAGGGAAAATTCCTATCCCATTATTGAATCATATGCAATTCTGCAATGACTTTATACTCTCACATTTTCTTAGCTTAAAAACGTTTAATGTACAAATAATGAAGTCACAGTGAGAGTCCAACAGTCACTAGAACAAAATGTGTGTTTTAAGAAAAAAGGCAGAATCTGACATGTAATATTCCCCTATAAACAGTGCTTTGTATAAAAGCTATAATTAAAATGCATAAGTGCATTATTTCTATACTCAACTAAGCAAAATGCAACATGATTAAACCCACAGTTCAGGATTCATTGCAGAGTACAAATAAGTAGGCATTTGTGGAGAGGAGAAGTTTCCTGCTCTTCCCTTTATTTAACAGTGTCTAAAAATTTAACATGGAAAAAAAAAACTCTTATTTCCTCCAATCACAACAATCTTGATGACAATGTGAAAGAAACTGTGGCTTCCTTTTAACTGTTTGATTTTAGGTTTGTCAGATTAAGTACTTGGTTTATTGAAACTGTCATTACTCTCTCACTTATCAGTTAGCAGAGATATGAGTTACTCTGTGGTATCTGCTAACTAACCCCAGTTAGAAGATGCTACACGACTCCTTCCAAACCCAGAGCCTAGCTCCACATAGTTAACTGACCTCATGTTTTGACCCTCATACCAGCATCCACAGGCTTCAGGTCATGACCCATGAATTAGCATCATGGAAGTAAGGGCCATACCAAGTTTCTCTTACAAAACTGAAGACGTCAAATGTGGAGACTTCCGACGCCTTTCTAAACTTGGTTTTCAGTACACTCAGCAGCTGTCTCCCAAATCTAAAGGAAGACAATCAGCTTACCAGCACTCTCACATATTTCCAAAAAAAGGAAACTGAATTACCTTCTCTGAAAATGCCTACTGCATACATTTATTCATCTCAAAAGAAACACAAGAATAATAAAAACTAGCATGTGAAACAGATTTTACTCACATTTGCAAACAAAAATTGATAGTTTTCAAAACAATTATCCTTTAGAAATGTCATCTATGAGCACTCAGTCACAGGCCCTCCTGCTCCCATCACCACTATAAAGTAATCTCTACAGGATTAAATGGTGTTGCGCTGGTATCTTTCCTCTGCTTCACCAAAGTCTTCCATGTATAACTGCAAGTATATACCTTTCTTAACAAATTTCTGCCACTGTGAACTCTAAGAACCACAAAACTTAAGAATGTTAAACACAGATTTCTGTATCAAAAGACTGCGCAGGTTTTTAACTAATTTGTCTCCTAACTCACACTGATAAAAAGATGCTATCAAAAAGCTAGATAAGCTTTTTAATTTTATTCTCAGCAGGGGGAGCTAGCACTCTCATCTTGAAAGTCTAGGTATACAACACTGAAATTTAAATTTTGATTCCAACTATCAAATTTCAGCATGTGTCAGATTTTCCTATTGAAAATCTTTGCAAGGGAAAAAAAAACGACAGGTTTACCAAAACTTGAAAATTTACCTTTGTCTTGAGATTCCTGAAGATAACTGTAAAAGAAAGTAAGAACATTATTTTTTAAAATAAAGGTTAACAAATTAAAACAAGATTTAATCAGTGGCAATGATTCAAATCTATTTAAAAATCTATACTATGAATATATATTTAGAGAAAAAAACTACTTCCTACCCTGAAATGGTAATTCCAAAAGGCTAATGAATTTATACTAAAGGTATTTTTAAAGACTCAAGTTACAGTAGTAAAATTAGAATATATTGTTAATGTACAACTTAAATTACATTTATTCGAGTATCTGGAGGTATTTTCCATATTCATGTTAAAATTCTCAACCTACCTAAGCCTTATTAGTGAAATCAAATATTTTCTCAAGTAACCAAAATAAACAGTTGGATTTTGCAAAAATACTTAGAAAAATAGATAATCAAGAGCCTTCACAAAAAAGGGTATTATAATAAGGATGTCTGTTTTTAAAAATTATTATAGTAGAAATAGTTTGTCCTTTAAAATACTTCAATTAGATTAGAATCTAAAAAATTTAATTTCACAATTAATCAGTTCTTCATTAAAATGTTAATTACACTTCTTCTAAGTAAGAAATAAGTAATAAAAGGCAAGTAAGTGACTTACATAGACTTTACATCTTTTATCTTCTTAACAAGCGAGTCTCTCTTTTCCTTTGCTTTCTTGGATAAATTTTCCCCTCTCAGTGTGTCTGCTACAAATGTTTCAACATCTAAACCATGAAATATAACAAAAAGGACACAAATTATAGGAAAGAATCATTTTTTCCGTGAAGACAAATAGGATAATGATTGTTTCTACCCATAAGTATTAATATCTGTACAATTTGTTACAGTTATTTATCAATCCAAAGCATAACAGTTGAAGTATGTTTCAAACACTAAATTGGATAAATCTGTTCACCACTTAGCTAATAAAATGTGTATGTTCTACTTATGTTTAGCACAGCGAATGCTATTTGAATGTTTGGCATCATTAAACCAGGAAGAAATATGCAAGTTTTAATAAACTATGGTGCCCCATAAACAAATTCTCTTGTATAAAAGCAAGCACAGAGTTTACATACATATGTTACTATTATTTTATAGTACTTTGCAAGTTCCTATACGAACAGGTCATTCACAATATTATATCAATAAAAGCTAATGTCTCTGGCAAAAGCTGCTTTTCCCAGTGTAATCAACTTTCAGTCATATGTCATGCTTAACTGCTTTAAAGGAAAAAAAAAATTCCTTATTCTAGCCAAGATTTCCAAATCAAACCCTCTTCTTTCCTACCTGCCCCACCCACTCTGGCCAGCTATTCTCAAATAAAAAAGATAATCAGTTGTGTGGTTTTGTGTGCTCCTGTATCCTGTCTTGGCATTACTACCTGGAAATACTTCTTAAAATAAAGGAAAAAGTGGCAAAAATAGATTTATCTATTTTTACTATTATTTACTATTTTAAAATATAGTAACCAACAGAAAACATTTCTATGGCCTCATGCACAATTTCACATAGCCTTCTTTTTTAATTTAATAAACTTCTATGCTGCTTTTTAATTCCAATGTGCAATGCCATCAAATTCTTACTGGTTTGATTTTATAATAGCCCCACTCTTATTGTTCATGAAATACTGTACAATTTTAATTTTATAATCAGAATTTCAAATCTCAATGAGATATTTAATATAGAGGATACCATTAAAATTTTTTCAGTAGGTATGCCTATAAATCACCCATATTTCATATTGAAAAGATGTGTATATGTTCTATTTTCTTTTTATTTAACTAATTTGTCTCCTAACTCACACTGATAAAAGGATGGTATCAAAATATACAATAATATTATATTTAATTAATTCAAAGCATTATAACAAATAGTCTTTCAACTGTACTTATAATTACCAAGTTAAAACCTAGTATTTGAAGCAGATGTTATAAATTGATTTTAAATTCTTGATTACAAAAGTACCTTGATCCAATGAGCAAAGCTGATTAAACTGTTATTCTACACACCCTAAACAAATTATGTAAAGGTGAGCTTTCAATAAATCAATATGACAAGTGAAATAATTAAAATTTAGTCTTGGAATAATTTTTTAAAAATAGCTCTCTGGTTTGAAGTCCATTACTGACATGTTAAAAGTATCTAAAAAAACAAAAGCAAAATGTCACAGCTTCTCCTTCCTTGAGCTGTCTATGTCTTGAAGAGGGGGATACAGAGACATAATCCAGTACTAGTGCAAATTAGACCCACATCTCTGAATGAGTTCAAAACAACCAGACTTATTAAAAAAAAAAAGCACTCTCTTCCCAACTCTAAATTTTGTATCCAGAGGAGTAAGCAACCTCTGGACATTCAGATTATTAGCTGAAATGGAAAAAATCATTGGCTTCTCTGAGATGACTCCAATAAATCTACTAAGAAAGTGAAGTAAAAGAGGTAGCGCCTCTTACTCCAAGTACACTCAGTACTTGGGAGAATCACTGGCATAACGACTGGTAAACAGTGTGCTTAATTTAACTTTCACTCAGTATTTGTCTTTAATTCCCTCATCCACACGAGTATTTAATTGCCTATTTTACATTTTCACTACACAATCCAAGTTTAAACAAACGGGATCTATTTTCTATCTCCGGAAGCAATAACAGAACGAACTGCAGCCCAAGAGTTATTCCTTTACAAGGTCTTTTCAGTTCTATAAAAACTCAGAAAACAAAAAGCTTAACGTTCTATATAGTGTTTCCTAACAGTGCCAAAAAACTTTTTTTAATTATTGAAGCTATGCTATTTTATGAGGAAATACTTGTTGAAAGAGTGTGAGACTGCAGGAAGAATCTGCGTCGTTTGTTTTCTTAGGGGGAGGCGATTCAGAGATTGCTCAAGAAGAAAATTCTGTATTTTTAGAGTAGTCAATGTATTTATTCCTAAACTTATCCCAGAAAAGCGGTTTAAGGCAACAAAAAAGATTAATAAACATTGATTATTTTTTAAGATTACTTCACAAAGGAGATATGAGAAGCACAGAACTTGCTTTGGGTCCCCCCCCCTTTTTTTTTTCAATTTTTTTTAAAAACAAGAACTTCAAAGTGGAAGTGATTCTTGTAATAGTCTTAGTTTGTTGGTGCCCACAGACTCAACTGGTCTTTTAAAAAAATTTTTTTTTGTCTTTCTTTCTGAAAATCCATACAGTGCCCATTTATTTTGAAATCGAACTAAACCAGCCTCTCGCAGACACAGGAGACCCCGTGGACGTGCCCGCGGCTTTCGCCGAGCACCGACCGGCTCCCACGGCGCAAAGATAGAGTGGGTGCTGAGAAGTTACTGCAGCTTCACCGTAAGATGCTTGAGCTCCGCAGTCCGAGACACTTGGAATGTTAAGCCCCAGGGTTCCCGTCAGCAGAGCTGGGAGCAGAGAGCACTGGTTTGGGGCAGCGCCCTAGCTAGACAAATGGGATGGATCTGTGACTTTGTAGCTCAGAGCCAGGGTTATATTTCAAAAGCAAGCAATAAAGTCCTAGGCGAATCAAGCACTTCCCTGGCAGGTTGGAAAAGAGATCTGAAGCTTTTTATTGTGCTCTGAATAGCCTTGCAAACGGTAAACTAGCGAGCCCTCTCCTGCCTTCCTTTAGGGGTCGTGTCCCTCTGTTAATATGTAGATTTCACTGACTCCAGACTGCCTGTAATTCGGGGAACAGCCGTAATTAGATTACAAGAAAAGGTCAGCCTGCGTCTTCGTTGGCCTCTTGGCCTGGTGAGTTCGATAGAATTCCTCGTTCTCGGAGGAGGAAATCTCGGCTCACTCACGCACTCCGCGGGAGAGGAGAGGCTTAGGGACCCACCCGGCCATGTGGAGAAAGCGCAGTTCCGGCGCCCCCTAAACACCGGGTCAACCCCTAAACACCGCCTCTCACCTAGACCACAGGTCAGCGCCGCCCGCATTTAACCCCATCTCCATCCGCTTCTGTCCCCAAGTCATCATCAAGGAAAAAGTTACTCAGCGAATACTGAGTATGTGGTGGTGATTTTTGCTCCTGTTACACCTTAACACTGTCAAGAGTAAACCTGATCTCCTAGTGTAACTGTAAAGATACTGGGGAGAGGGCCGCTGAAAATAATCTGATTTGCGACTGCTCTGTAGATAAATGTTAAGGTCTGAAAACAGAATTAAAAGATGATATCAAGTCTTGGCTCAGCAATCCTCAAACAGTTTAAGAAAGAAACCTCTCAATAATCATCTCAATCCCTAACAGGCAAATACTTAACACACACCACATCACCGCGTGGTACTCCAATTTTCCTTTTTTTTTTCTTTCTTTTCTTGTACATACGATCCCCTAGAAAAACTGCCACTCATCTCCCCCCTAGAGCCCCAAAGGCAAGGACAGGTATCTAACACATACACACACACACACACACACACACAGGCGCACGCGCTAACAGTTTACTACCAATTTCCATACTGATTACAGAGTGAAAAAGTGAAACCACACGAGGTTATAACCGGTTTTAAATTCTTGCAAATTATAATCTGTCAGCTTCTCCAAGCTGAGTACATAGCACAGGTTCCTACTTTTAAACAAAGCCAGGCTTTGACCACTTGCCTTCACATCCTCCACCAGCAAACAGCCTGGAATACGACTTCCAGACTGGTGAGTGTAAACAAGTCACAGAGATAACACCTGGTGTGTCTTCTGCCTAGTCCCCCAATCAGCCAATACTTCACCTTCCTGGGCAGGCATGCAAGTGTGCAGACACACACACAAAACCTCTGTGATGGCCTGATTTGTATAGAAGAGAGAGGCAAGAATTAAAGTGAACCCACTACCATGTACTCAGCCCCATATCAACAAAATGAGTGTAAAACCAATCACACCATACTCCCATACCCCAAATGGCTTTACTACTTAATTCCACAACTTTCTCTACTTTATGAATTAGGCCAAATTTCACTTTGTATTCACTGAGGTGCTATCACTAAACTTAATGCGGTAAGAATTCCAGCCTAGAATTGAAGTTGGCACCAAAACAAAAAGAGAAGCTTTTCATCTCTTGTAAAGGAGGGTACGGTCTCACCAAACATGCAGTGGTGAAAACATAAAATCTGTTATGTTTATGAAAACATAAAATCTACATGTACACTGGGTACATGTAGACCAGTTAAGCTCAATGCCCAAAGCTGGGAAATGGCTAATTGAAAAGTTACTGATTTGTCTAATAAATGTCATTCTCTTGATTACTCAAGCACTTTTATAGGTCATGGTTGAATGTGGACTTTTCAAACATGGAAAAAGGGACATGAGCAAGCACAAGAAGTTCTCACAGTATGATAAGTAAAACATACCTGAGTCTTACCATCCATTCATCTGACAAAATTTTCAAAGTTGGCTTTGGAGGCTAAATGATTTATTTGGTAGGAAACTGGACTGCTGAAGGATAGAGATGAACATTTTTCGCCTCTAAAAGATGACTCTTGATAAATAGCACTTTAAAATGATCAAAATCTTATTTTCAAAGAAGCCACAGTGAATAAAACATTAATCTGAGATTTACACTATATTCACTGTTAGGTAGCATCTATTGTAATGTATTCACCATGTGATTGAAAAAGAAATGTAAACTCAGTGGAACGAAAAAGATAGACTTGGCTTTAATTGAAAAAGACAAACTAAGTGAATAATGAGTATATAAAAACTAGCCTATGCCACTTTTATCACCCATATATGACACTTAATCTTAAATTTATGAGAGACAACTGAACTGTGTTTCAAATCACCAGAGGCTTTTCATACTCTGTTGTTTCTACCTTCTTTCCAGTAATGCTGGATAAAGTAGAGCTAAACTCATTTAGAAATTTTTAAATTTTTATACTTCTCCTTTCTAGTATATTTAAATTTCTTTTTTAAAAGAAAATCAGTGATAATTTGGGTTGAGTAACTATAAAATTATGCATACAAGCATACTATCAAGAGCTTTGTTTAGTAATCTGAGATGAAAATACTTTAAAAGGAAAGTCATGGGGAAAAAAGCCAATCAGAAATTCCTGCCAAGAAAAAGTAGGGTATTGTATGCTTAACATAGGCAAATAATTTTCCTAATATCACATCTTAAGTCATCTATGTTATCTGACCCATATAAGAAACTATCAGTTTCTCGTCCCTTGATTTAAAAACATATATTCCTACTCCTAGAAGAGAAAATCTTAGAAGTGTCATGGACTGATTTCACTGTAAGATCTAATGTTCTCCTATCAACTTTAAACTCATTAGTTATTACTGTCAAAATGGGGCAGGCTTGTTCTTGCTCTGTAGGAAACCCAGGTGCTAAGGTGACCATTGGTGACTCAGTAGGTGGCACTCTTCCCTTTATGTACTTGCCCAATGCCCCAGAAGGAAGTTACGGGGCACTAGATACACCACCAATGATTCTCAGAAGACAAACAAAACCAAAATGTTGACCAAATTTTAAATGGAACTTGAAAGGTAGAAATCAAACCATAGTATTCTTAGCATTCAAAAGAAAAAAAAAGGTCTACCTCTATCTCAGCTGAATTGCATTACTTATCTAGTGTCCCTAAAGGGATTATCAATTATGTGTGAAGGTTTTTAAATATGTCCTAGAAATTCCCAATAGAGGAAAATGCAATATTTCTAATCAAGACTGCCAAGTGAACAAACTCTCAGGGTCACTTTGCAGACACCACTCTCGTTATTGTTTGTTTTGGGTTTGATTTTTTTCAGAGTACATACTGACAACCACCATTTTCTCCCTTCAACATTGGTTTCATTTTCTATCTCAATAAAAAGAAACTGGCATTTTCCTACAGCTTTCCTTTTTAAATGTGCTGTCCTAATACAAATGAATGAGAATATCAGACTGCAAACCTCGAACAGACCAGCATTCAAAGGGAGATTAAACAAGATTGGGGGGGGCGGTTAATTCCTCTCACTTTCTTGCCTGCCTGGGGGAAAAACTCACATAAATCAAGATTATTCTTGCTGTTCATCCTAGTCAAAATATTTGGACGTGGGAGAAGATTATATAGACAAAATTTGGGATTATCCTTTGTTTCTATTTATCCAAGCTAAACTTGTTCTTCCATTGCTGTGAAAAAAAAAATTAAAGGTTGCCTGTATTGCATGTGGCAGTTTGCAACTTTCTTTTAACAAAAATCTGTAAATCTTTTTCTACTCATAGGACAAGAAAATAATTCAATACTTTTTATAAAAAGTATAGGTTTTCAACATTGAATATACTGATTCCATGGAAATATAAATAACTACAAACTATATAGCCAGTTTCTAAAGCGCATCATCAAATGTGAGTCAAGAATGATAACCTCTATGGATTTCTGCATTTCCACAGCATGTTTTTAACCAAAGGAATAGGAAGGAGGGGGAACAAACATTGAAAAGAAAGACTAAAATTACTATAATCAAAAGGAAAAATAAAAGAGAAAGAAAATAATAAAAAAAATTGATAAGAATACATTTGAGCACCTACCTCTATCAAGCAGTTGAAATGTCAAACATTTAATACATCTGAGTGACATAATAATTTGGATAAAGGGGACATAGAACATAATGGGAGCAATCCAAACTTTTTTTTGATAGGCCTATCTTTTGACTTTGATTCTTTCTTTCTGAAGGGATTTTAAATGCTTGAAAAGTTTAGTTCTTTATCTTTCCTGCCTTGGAATTCTAGCATAGTGCCATGCATTTTAAGAGCACTCAACTGTTAACTACATGCACCACTGCCAACATGTCCTTAGTTTCAAAGAACAAACCAGGTAAGCCAGCAATATCTTTAAAATTCAAACCAATGCCAACTCTTCTTCTATAGTTTTAATAATTTTAAATCTAACCATATCCTATTAGTCAAACACTTGAATAAAACAAAATGTGAGTAAAACTGCTGATCTCACTTATTCTTTAAAACTTCTCTACAAAAAAGGATTTTAATCAAAGTCAGCCATAGAACATTAACTATTTTTCTTCAAATGGCTAGTTTAAAAAGAAAACTGAAAAACACTGGTTCACTTGTTTCAATTCTTTAAAGTATATCTCATCATAGACATTTATATTTCCTCATAGCCATACCTCTTGAAAATACCCTCTGAAAATACAGTATAAGTCAAATTTGTAATTGCTGGAACTTTAATGTTTTAAGATTTGTTCTTAATATTCCATGTGTTTTAATATGTGATTTACTTCAACAATGTGAAATACTGAAAATGTCAAGATTATTTTTGAAATGCTAATTTCAGATATTATTGGCTAAAGTATATACGAAGTTAGCAATGGCAGATAACCTAAATATTATTTAATTCTGAGCTTTCAATTAAATTACACAAATAAGGGCTACATGAAATACTTGTAATCCATGGGGATCAGGAAATAAAGAGTCTCATAACCTATATATCATACTATCTGCAAATTATGCCTGTGGATCCAGATTACAAACTGTCTACTGTGGAGCTGTCAAGCTTTAAAAGCATGTATCCAGGGGCCTATGCTTTATGTCTTAAACTCAAAAATTCAGATCTAAAATATCCTGAAAATGGCGACTTCTCTTTTTAGAGTTAGGATCAACAGTTCTCTAACCTGGTAAAATAATATTCTAAGCAAGGAATCCCAGCATGGTAACAACACACATGTAACTGTAGTCAAACAAAGTCAGCGGTCACTTGAAACTCTCATAGAATGGAATAAAAGCTGCCTTGACTCAACCCCTACAGTTCTTTCAGTATATCCCATAATGGTGCCCATTAACAACAGGCATTTCTTAGAGTAAAACACTGCCCCACCACAAATGCACTCATAGCACTGCAATCATGTTCACAAAACATGTCTGCATTCATACACTACTCGTTTTATTTACTCTAACAACATACTAAGAGATTTAGTCTCACAGTCCTCTAACAGTAACTACATATAATGCCACATTTTAAATATTGCTTTAAGAGTTAAAATAAGCAAATTCTATCACAGGCATCTAAGAGAAACTTTTAACCCAGTATTTCATGACCAATATTGAAAGATACTTAAAGTATAAATTTTAGATCAAAATTCAATAGTCAGAATTCTAATGTACACATGACAAAGTGAATAATGGGAAGAATTCCAAAGCATCAGGATAGGTAAAATTTTTGCTACCCTAGAAAAGGATGTATTTTCTACGTTGTGCAGAAATATAAGTTTTTATTGGCCCCTAGCGAAAACACACATCTCCCATCCTAGATAACGAACTAGCAGTGGATTTGTAACAGCTTTGAAGAATGCATCTTTAATTCCTAAGTTCCTACAAACGGTGACTTAAGACTTAAAAGGGGAAGATGGGGGTGCAAATACGAAATACTGTATATTCATCGTCACAGGAAGCTGGACTTTAACACATCCTTCCTTTTTTGCTGTAACATGTTCCTCAGGCTGAAGACAACTGGTCATTTGAGAGTCAGGCCCCCTTTGAAAGTCTCAAATATGGGTGGGCTGAATGTTTAAGAAAAATCTGAGTTTTAGAAATGACAAACCCTGTGGCCCCATAACGCCTAACTCCTAACCCCTGTAGCTCAGAAATCTCTTTCTCTTCCATCGGCCAGGGGACCAAAGAACTAGTTCTTTGACTTCTCTCTCCTTCCCCATCTCTTTCTGTGACACACACACACGCACACGCACACACACACACACACACACACACACAGTTTTCACGATACCCTGATCGCGCGCGCGCGCACACACACACACAATCTTCACGACACCCTGATCGCGTTAGTAAAGCCCACCAAGAAGGGCTTGCCCCATCCTCGCACCAAATTTCAGCACACACGCCCACTCCCATTCTCACATCCCACTTCCCCACTCCCAGTCCCGCTCCCACGGGGCAGGAGGCGTGGGGAGAGCCAGGGGGGAGGGCAGAGACTCCGACAGCTTCTGTCCCCACCGGCTCGCCGTCCCCGCGCCCGCGCCCCCGCCCCCGCCACGTTACCCGCCCCCTTCCCGCTCTTTACCTGCCAACAGGTTCCTAATTTCCTCGGGGAGGGGGTAGGGAGAGGAGGTGCTGCTGGGGTTGGGCATGTTAGGGAGCTCGGGGCGTGAAGGGAAAGGATCTGTGCTGAAAGGGGAACCGGCCCGCTAGGGTTGCGGCTGCGATCTAGACTCGGACTATCCCGGTAAGGACAGCGGGGCTAAGAGTCCGTACACTGCCGAGCCGAGGCTCATAACAAGGAAGTCACTGAAGCCCCAGCCACAGCTGCTGGACTCTCGGCCCAGCCCCGCCCGGCAATTCGGGGCGGGGAGGTGGGAGGGGCGGGGGGCGGGGAGGAGGCCCGAAGGGCAGAGGGGCCTTAACTGCGCAAGTGTAATCCCTAGATTTCCTTGCCTCGGAAAAGAGCCTCAGGGCAGGCCACACCCACCGCTACGTGGAGCGGGAGGAGGAGCGGCTGGTGGGAAAGAGCGGACTGGGGCTGCATCACCTGATCCAGCGCCTGAAGCGCTTTGCGGCCATTTTGGTCACTGGTAGAGGCGCAAGTGCTGACCATTTCTGCACGGTCCCGGAAAATAAGGACTCTTTGGTGAGTCCAGATTTTCCGATTGAGAGACTTTCTGGTCTTAATCATTCCCACCAAGGTTTAACACTTTGCGCAGTACCCCAGATGAAATTTTTGACCGCCCTAAACTACGGAGGCCTTCTTTGTCCGATTGCATGATGGCATCAAAGTCTCATCTTCCGCCAGTCCTCCCTGAGATGCCAGTCCGGAGCTGCTCCACAGAGCGCTCCGATTGGTTCTTACACTACTCTTCTACGTAATTAGGGTTTGGAGGGTGACCGATCTCCCCTACTAGGAAGCGCAGAGAGTTCTAGTTACAAACAGAAATAGATAGCACTGTCCACCTATAAGCATCAAAGAGAAAATTGCTATAATTCCATTAAAACGGAATTATAAAATTTGTTCACTGCAACCTGATCGTTTAATCATCAGATACTTACTGAGTGTCTCCTAGCTCTAAATCTTTTTACAGATTTTCTCTAAAACGGAAGAAGACACGTTCTGGTGCCTTTATAGTGTGTGTGTAGAAGAAAATATTTTTTTCTTCAGACAGGAAACGGAAAATTTTATTATGGCTCCATTCGCAGTATAAATTGTTTATTCCTCTACCGTCCACCCTTCACTAGATCAATGGTCCTTAAACTTTAGTTTGCATTAGAATCACAGACAGAACCTATGACAATGCAGTCTCTAAAGTCCCACTCCCAGAAATTCTAATTCTGTTTAGGATGGAACTTGACTGATTGCATTTTAAACAAGCCGCATTGGTGATTCTGCTGCTAGACACCCTGAGATTTTATTTTGAGAATCACTTTACTGCCTTTGAGCTCCTATAGGACACAAAATTTGTCATAACTTACCTTTCATCCCCACCTGGAACCCACAACCTGACACAGAGTAATGGCTCTATTAATATTTCACACCAAATAAATCTCACACAGTAATAAAAAATTAAGTAGTCAAATACAAGTCATTTGTGTATAATTCTCTAGAAATACACCAAACAATAACTGTTAAAAGTGAAAGTTGCTCAGTTGTGTCCGACTCTTTGCAACCCCATATAGTCTAGGCCAGAATACTGGAGTGGGTAGCCTTTCCTTTCTCTAGGGGATCTTCCCAACCCAGGAATTGAACTGGGGTCTCCTGCATTGCAGGTGGATTCTTTACCAACTGAGCTATCAAACACTAACTGTACAAGGAAAAATTAAAACATTTTGAAGTTCTCTCAAAACAAAAACCAAGACAAAAGCTTTAGAATTGAAGTATAACATGCAAAACAACAAAAAGACACCCCAAAATGGAACCTGAAATTCCTATTCAGAACTGTGATGAACTATAGAAAAACTGTTAAAAATCAGAATTCTTTTTGGTGGAGGTAAAAGTGAACAAAAAGTCATTTTTACAAACTAAGTCCTCCAACTTCAGAGAATTGAGAATTATTATTCTTAAACTACCAAATTATCTTCCTAAAGAAGGAAAAAGCAATTTTATTGACATATATTAGGATCCTTCCTCCTTATACAGCTATCACACAAAAGTCTTTGTCTTGTCCCATTTTTTTTCCATTAAACCAGGCCTCCAAATGTTCTTATCCTTTGTTTCTTTCTGATAGAACTGACCAGATTTTTTTTTTTATTCTTGGGTCTCATTTATTTATTTACACTCTATTCATTGCACAAAGGAATTGAGGTGATTTACTCTTGTATCAAATAGACAGCTTTCTGGAGTGGATCAAATGGACACTGTCTACACTACTCATTATGACAAGTCATTCTTGTTAGTGAGAGACAGGAAACTATTAAGACTGCCTTAAAATATATAGCATCTAGCAGTCCAAATAAAAAAGGCAATAACAGAAAATGGACTCTTCATATAAAACACATTTTCCCTATTTAGGAAACCATTCTCAGATACAGCTTTGTGATGGATTCACTTGGGCAATGCTTTGTATACTCTATCATTTTTACTGTTTATTGTTAAAGTTACTGGAATTGATTATAAGACACAAAGAAAAATAAAGAGAGGCTAGAAGAAATATATTCTTATTTCTCCTTTCCAAATGTTTCCACAACAAAAAATAGGAAGGAAATCAAATTATACTTTACATTTTATTTATTTATTTATTTTTAAATCTTTATTTATTTGGCTGTGTTGGGTCTTAGTTGTAGCATGCTCAGTCTTCATTGCGGCACGTGGGATCTTGTTCCCTGACCAGGGATCAAACCCAGGCCCCCTGCATTGGGAGCTCTGAGTCTGATCCACTGGACCACCAGGGAAATCCCCTATACTTTACATTTTAAACTAGTCATATTAGGTAAAAAGGAATAATAAATGAAATTTTTAAGTCTCAACCTGAGATTCAACAGCTTCTCTACCATTGTGCAGAAGCTAGATTCTGGAAAAATCTCATGATTTGACTTCTCAAAAGTACATCCTTTAGTTCAAAGAAGATGCGTGTGTGTGTGTGTGTGTGTGTGTGTGTGTGTACATACATATTTTCTCATTACTAAAGCTAACCCCCTTCCTTACATCTTTGAAATTTAGCTTAGCTGAATGAGTATTTGTCCACAGTCTTAGTTTTAAAAGAATCTAAATGAACAATGAAGAAAAAACAGTGAGCTAAACCAATTTACATTTCCCTGCATCTCATCTTTATCTGGCTTTCATAGGCATGTGGAAGAAAAATTATAATTTGTAAGAAAAGGGACAGAGAAAGCTTCTGACACAGAAGGGGGACGGGGAATGCCCCCCTAGCTAGTCTTATCAAGGCCTTATATACTTTTTTCAGACCCACTCCCACAACATACATCTTAAATTCACAAGATTAGAATGAAAAATAGAAAGATTTTACCAGACCCACTCCCATAATATACACTTTAAGATGACAGGATTAGTAAGAAGGTTCTTGTTAAGGAGAAACGTGTTCTCGAGAAAGATACATTGTTATATCGACTGCTGCTGCTGCTAAGTCACTTCAGTTGTGTCTGACTCTGTGCAACCCCACAGACGGCAGCCCACCAGGCTCCCGCATCCCTGGGATTCTCCAAGCCAGAATACTGGAGTGGGTTGCCAGCTCCTTCTCCAATGCATGAAAGTGAAAAGTGAAAGTGAAGTTGCTCAGTCGTGTCTGACTCTGTGCGACCCAATGGACTGTAGCCCACCAGGCTCCTCTGTCCATGGGATTTTCCAGGCAAGAGTACTGGAGTGGGGTGCCATTGCCTTTGCCTTCTCCGCTGCAGCTGCTAGGTCGCCTCAATTTTGTCTGACTCTGTGCAGTCCCATAGTTGGCAGCCCACCAGGCTCCTCTGTCCACAGGATTCTCTAGGCAAGAATACTGGAGTGAGTTGCCATTTCCTTCTCCAAAGTTATATTGACTAAGACAAAGCAATGTAGAAAAGACTGTTTGTCCTTTTCTCAAGGAGAAAAGGACAGACCCCTTTCTCCCCCTTGGTGGCTCCAGACCCCTTTCTCCTCCTCAAGAACCCTGGACTTTTTATCAACCTACCTAGGAATTGACTCTCTCAGCACTGTATTAGTTATCTGTTGCTACATAACAAAACTTAGCTTAAAACAAACATTTAGTATCTCACACAGCTTTTGATGGTCAGGAATCCGTGATCAGTAAAGCTGGATGGCTCTAGTGACAGTCAAGCTGGTTGCAGTCATTTAAAGACTTGTCAATAGCCAGATTAGCTTTGAAGAAGGTTCACCCACAGTACTATTGGTTGAAGCCCTTCATTCCTCTTTGATGTTGACAAGTGGCATCAGTTCATCACTACATGGACCTTACGGGGCTGGTTGAGTGTCTTCTTGACCTGGTAAGTGGCTTCCCCCAGAGCAAGTGATCCAAAAGGTAGCACAACCAAGACAGAATCTGCAATGTGTTTATAAATTAATATCAGAAGAGGCATAATTGACTACTGTCACATCCTATTGATCATAGAGACCACGCCTTGTATGGAAGAAAAGGCTGTGAACACCAGGAGCCAAGAATCACTGAAGCCATATTGGAAGCTGGCTACCATAATCAGCCCTTTGGTTCCCAATGATTCACATCTATCCCAGTGTAAAATACACCCATCCCTTCCCAAAGCCCTGTGCAGAGTCTCTTTCCATTACTGTATCAGCTCAAAGTCCAGAATCTCATCTAAATCAAGTTCAGGTGTGGATGATGCTTCTAAAATAAAGCTCCTTAAGCACAGTTTTCTCGATCTAAAGACCTATCAAGTAAAATGATAAGTTACTTGCTCCCCACATAACATACAACAATGGGATAGGCGTAGGATAACCACTATAGACATACCTGTTCAAAGAGGGTGGGAGTGATAAGAAATATACAGAGATTACTGGTGCATAGCAATTCTGAAGTCACAAGTTCTTTGATTAGGACAAAATCTACTCCCACCTGGATTAACTTCTTCACAGATCTCAGTTCTGCCCTCTGAATCATTCTTCTTTTTTCATAAAAGGTAGTGTAGTCTTCATCTGAATAGTTTTCTCAACCTGCCTCCTGCTAGTGGCCTTAGTGAATCCAAAGACCTCTTTTCATTTTATACTGTCACTATCCCAGTTCCTACCAGGGTTCAGTCAGAGAAGCAAAACCACTAGAATGGAAATAGAGATAGATAGATAGATGGATAGATAGATAGACAGACAGATAATATAAAGCAATTTGTTACAGAGATTTGACCCTACACAATCGTGGAAGGTGGTTAAACTGCCTTTGTAAGGCTGTTAT